ATATAATATATGTATAAATATGAAATTATATTTTTTAAATGTCATTTATGTTAAATACATATTTTATATTTTATTATTGAACTTTACATTGGTATGTAAAATTCAATTCGCGGGAATATACACTCATGGACCTCGACTTAGGATTTCTTTTTAAATTATCACGATTGTATTCTAGTTACTACTTACAAAGATAATTTTAGATTTTAAAGATAATTTTAAAGACAAGATAATTAAGATAATTAATAAAAGAATTTGATAAGATAATTAGATAATTGTTAGATAATTAGATAAGATAATTAAATTTTTAAAATAATTTTTTCTTTCTTTGTTAAATTTGAGCAATTATTCTTATTTATAATATAATATTTGTTATATAGGCGAAGGAGCATGATGAGGATGGATTGAGAATTAAATCTAGCCGAATTATCAAGGATTTTTAAAATTTTTATTAATTAAAATATATAAATTTTTTTAATCAACTCGTTTCTACGTCCTCCGCGGCTTCCACGTCCTCCGTGACATCTTCGTTTTTCGCGATCTTCGCATCGTCCGCCTTCCCCATATCTGCGGTACCCACAGCTGTTAGGATTTTATCGACTTCTTTGCCAATATCTGGCTGTAATGAATTTGAAAATTGAAAACGATTAAAATTTAGTATCTACATAAAAACTTATTAGATTTGAGTAAGTTAATTTTAATCATTTTAATATGATATATGTGTAAATTTTTATAAATTTTGAAAAAAGTTAATAAGTTAAAATGTATAAAAATAACTTAAAATTAAGTTGACATTAATTAATATATTAATTATCCAATTCTACTTACTATAAGGTAATTTTTACTTACGTTTTTCTTGTGGAGCGACAGCCTACATCGCTAGTTCCGGCGCGGGCGACTGCGTCGCTGCTGATCCCGACGCGGGTGGTTATGTCGCTGCTAGTCCCGACATGGGCGGCTGCGAGAACTTGAGAACCGAGCTATTATGTTCTTTAATATATCTAGCTCGGCTCTCAGGGCCGCTAATTCTAAACCTTTTGAGTTGTCCGCCATTGAGCTAAAAGAAAATCATTGAAAATAATTTAATAAATGAATATATAAATTTTGTTATAATAAAATAAATGAAAATCCAATATGGCTTTACCGTTTCGGAGCATAATACGGTGTTATGTTTAACTTTTTTAAAAAAAGGTAAAAAAAGTGCTAAGCATACATACTTTTCGTGAAGAATCATTTGGATCGGTTTCACCAACGCCAGTTACTTAATTGGCCGTGGAACTGACTAATTGTGTTTGTGTTTATGGTATAATAGAATTGACCACTTATGATTGACAGTTAATCACCGATTCGGCTTAATCGACTTGATGAAACCGGCTATTTATATATAATCTAAGTATCCAACCCAATTAATAGTATTAATTTTTCTTATTGAAGATCTTCTTAATCCAACCTAAGTAATGGCAATTTTAATTCTCTGCCAAAAATTATCTCTATTCTTCGAAAAAAATTAATGTATTAAATGAAAAATTAAAATCCAGATGCTAATCTTAACTAATCAAGTTAAATTCTATCAAATTAAAAAAAATTAAAAAGTAAAACACAAATGGTAATGTCTCTTGTTATTTACTTAATTCTAATGATATGTATCATTCATGTAAGGGATTTGATATCAACAAAATTGACGCTAAGTTAAATTCCATTTCGAATATCAAATTATATAAATAATATTAACTTTAATAACATATACCATTTCTTTTGATATCAAGAATTAGCGCAAAGTTAAATTCTATATGTTTATGCCAAATTAAATAAATAATGAATATTAATCTAATGATTATGACATATCATTTGTAAAAAAATTGATATCAACAATTGGCACCAAATTCAACAATAGTTAAATTCTACTATCAAAATCAAAAGTAAAACTCAAGTGATACTATCTTTATTATTATTTATTTACCCCAAATGATACTATCATTAATTTTTATGAAATGAAACCTAAATATACGTATATGTTATTGGGATCTTCCAATCCAAATGGTTTAAATTCTCTTAAAATTATTATATTTAAAATTATTATATCACAATTTATTCAAAGACATTTTCTCTTCCAACTAAAACAGTGGTTATTTAATTTTCCTTAAAAATATTGTATTATACAAAACATTATCACAAAATTGCATTACCTTGCTCAATTTAAGTGTTATCACAAAGAATTAAAGAATTAATCATAAAACGAAAAAATTTAAATTAAATTTTTTAAGAAAAATTTTTCATGTATAAATACTTGGCACTTGTTAGATTTCGATCTAACTATTCGTAATAACATAATAGTAAACTA